GGGTTTGAACCACCAGCCGTCTGGTTAGCAGGCAAGTGTCTTAGCCACTATGCTACCAGTAGCTTTCAAAATCTGTTGCCCTTAACTTTAAAAGAACTTTGTTTTTTAATCTCCAAGTTAGTTGTTTTTTTTCTCATTATCTCTGTCATTTGTTCATAGACTGAGTTTTACAGGTAAATTGTAAAACAGGCCTCGCATTAGCAGTTCTGTCCTAGAACAGGCACAGCTGAGGGAAGGTCTATGCATATCTTGGGTGGGTTCCTTCGTGGTTCTTTGATTTCTGCAGAGGAAGAATTGGTACGGAGTTAGGACGTAGGAATTCCTCGCTTGATCCTGGCTTTGTTATTTACTACATTTGTGATCTTAAGAAATTTGTTTAAATTCTCTGTGACCCAGTTCCTGATTTGTGAAATGTGATGCTAGTGCCACCTGCTCTGTGGGTGTGACTAGAGTATATATAGTGAGATGTTCTTGATAAGCACAGGCTTTTATGTTTGTTAGTGCTTTGCTCAGGGCCTGACTTTATCTTCCATTATGTTATGTTCTTTCATGAAGAGAGGGCATGTTTAATTATGAGTGGGCCCTATGTCCCATGGAAAGATTTCTTTACTCACTAAAGCCATGATGAGCTTAAAGAAAGAAATAAAGGACTAAGTTAAGTCTTTATATAATTCAGATTCTTCAGTATCCTTTGCTCCCTAGAAAGATGGGGCCAAGATAGTATCTTTGCTAGTTATCCAATTATTTTACTCAGTTTTCCACTTTGATTTTTAGTGTGGGTCTGGCTCATTCATAACATATTTATTGAAAAGATGTTTGGTTCAAGATTATTTCAAGGTAAGTTTCCTTAGAGATGCATTTTAAAAGGAGCTTAAGTTCTGGTCCTTAAACCCCCTTTTGAATTAACTGGAATATGCCTTGAAGGTTGCATTCTAACAACTGTGCACTGCCCAGTAGTACCTTAGAGGTCTCCTCAGAGAGGCCAACAGCAAGTAGTGTGACTAGAAAGAGACCAACTCAGGCCAGCCTGATGTCTGAGCACCCCTGCGTCCTTACAGAGATCTGGACTAAAGTACTAGCCTTTCTAAGTAGAGCTTATTCCAGAGAGATAGTGCTAGGAATGGAAACTGACCCTCTGTCATCCACCAGGCTAATCAAGACAAGTCCAGAATTGTCTGAGTCCTGCACATGGTTTCCTGAGTCCTATGTGATATATCCAACTAATCTCAAGACTCCAGTTGCTCCAGCACAGAATGGAATCCACCCACCAATCCATAACTCAAGGACAGATGAAAGAGAATTCTTCCTGGCTTCTTATAACAAAAGGAAAGAAGGTGGAGAAGGCAACATTTGGATTGCAAAGTCATCAGCTGGTGCCAAAGGTGAGTTGTCATTGCTGTGCCCTTCTCCCTTCGCTGTAGGTTCCCATCATGCTTTGTTTAAATCACGGGTTAGATTTAATGATGTCTTTAGATGGATGACCCTGTTGTAATCTGAATCCTCAAGGTTAGAGATCATTCAAGCTATATAGTTTTAGATACCCATCTATCTACTGATGACTTCTAAACATTGTTACAGTCCATATCTTTCCCCTTGAGCACCAGATCCAACAGCATCCTTGGCATCTCTAAAAGGCATTTCATACATAATATGCTGGATACAGAACTCTTCATTTCCTTCCCAACTAGATCCACCCCGGCATATTCATCTTTCAGTCTTTCCCACTTTATAAATGATCCCACTAGTCACCTGTCTCTGAAGCCCAAAACCTGTAAGTCATCCTTACATGTTCTTTTCTTTACAATCTATGCTTAATGCATCAGCAAGCCTTGCTAGCTCTACCTTCAAAACACATTCTGAATTAGACTTGACTTGTCATTTTCACTGCTCCCACTCTGAGTCAGAGCTGCCATTCTCTCCAGCCTATGTGACTACACACTGCCTCCTCACTGGCCTCCCTTACAGCAGTTCTCCTCCTCTCAGCCGGAGTGATGTTTTTACATCGTGATCATGTTTCTCCCCGCACAGCACTTACCAGCTGGCTTTCCAATGCAATTAGAATAAATTCCAGATTCCTAATGGTGGCCTGCACCATCTGACATTTGCCCATATCTCTGATCTCACTTCCTTCTATTCTTGGCCTTGATTATTCTACTATAGCCACAAGTCTACAAGTCTGCCTAACTTGTCTCCCTAACATTCCAAACTTATACCTAAAATGTGTTCACATGAAATCTTTTCTATTTCTGTCAGCTCAAATGTTGCCTAGTCAGAGAAGGCTTTTCTAATCTAAAATAGACTCAAAGCCCATTGCTTTCTATCTTTTAATTCTGCTTTATTTTCCTTCCTTGCACTAACCCTTTCTTAGCACTATTCTACATGTTTGTCTGTCTGTCTATTCTATCAGAATGTAGGTTCCATATAAACACAGACTGTGTCTTGTTCATCTCTGTATCCCACCCTCTGTAAAACCAAAACCACTGCTGTCGAGTTGCTCAGTCCACCCCACTATAAGCACTCAGTAAATGTGTGACTCATAGAAAGGAGTAAGTTTTATGCTATTAACTTAGGCTTAAAATATAGGCTGTTCCCAATGTGATCAGTCTTTCTATATAATTACCATCATATGTTCTTTTAAAACCATTCCATTTTGAACTTCTTTTGTTCCCTGAAAGGCCATTGGTACTCATTTCTATTCCTGATCCAGTTGACCTCACCTTCCTTTCCACCAACCATGAAACAGGACAACCATGCTCCTGAAAGTGGGAGATCTGGAGTCCTTCCACAAGCCAAGTACCTAACCTACTTCTCTTTCCCCTATTGTGACCTCAAGTAAACCAAAAATCTAAACTCACTGCTGTCGAGTCAGATCCAACTCAGTCACCCCATCAGGTTTCCAAGGCAGTATCACTATGGAAGTAGATTGCCCAATCTTCCTTCTGAGGAGTGGCTGGTGGATTTGAACCTCTAGCCTTCTGGTTAGCAGCAAATGCCATAGGCACTATGCTACCAGAGCTCCCAAATACTACTTCCTAATTTAGTGCTAATGATAAATGGAGGATTTAGAAGAGGAAATTGTTGTTGTTGCTTTCAAGTTGACTCCAACTCATAGCAACCTTATATATAACAGAATAAAACATTGCCCGGTCCTGCACTATCATCATGATCTTTGATGCCCATTGTTGCAGATAATTTGTCAGTCTGTCTTATTGAAGGTTACCTTCATTTTCACTGACCATCTACACTTTACCAAACATGATGTCCTTTTATAGTGATTTCTCTTTCCTGATAACATGTACAAAGTAAGCAAGATGAAGGTTTGCCATCCTTGCTTCTATAGAGCATTCCAGTTGTATTTCTTCTAAGACTGATTTGTTTTTCCTTCTTGCAGACCACAGTATAGTCAGTATTCATTGCCAATACCACAGTTCAAATGCATCTGTTCTTCTGTCTTCTTTTTTCACTGTCCAGCTTCCATATGCATAGGAGGCAATTGCATAGTCCATGACTTAGGTCAGAAGCACCTTGTCATCAAAGTGACATTTTTGCTTTTTAACACTTTAAAAAGCATCAGTTATGCCCAATGTAATACATCATTTGATTTCTGGACTACTGCTTCCACAGATGTTGATGAAATTTTGACAACTTTAATAGATACTCAGTATTCCACTTTCCTCCTGTAGATTTGAGTTCAGAGTCAGGATTCCCATTATGAAGACATCTAATGTCAAGGAGCCTTGATTGGAGTGAAAACCCAGAGTAAGTCAGGGCCCTTGGCTGAAAGTCCTGTCAACTCATGGCAGTGATCCCACCTGTGTGGTCCCTGGACTCTTACCAATATAAGACAGAGTGACACTATGTAGTAGGGAGAGGAGAATAAAGAATGAAATGCCAAACAAAGAAGACCTTTTGCTTTAGGAGTTGAGAACAGTGGTCTGTATTCATTTTGTTTGCAACGACAAAGTAAAATTAACAGAATGAATGAATGACTCTTATCCTTGTTAAACAAATATTTATTTAGAATTTACATGCTTGGTATAGTGGACTCAACTTTCAGAATATATCCGGAATCCAGCCACTGTTAAACCACCTCTACCACCCATCTCTGATCTAAGCCACTCCACCTCTCATCTGGAGCATTGCTATCCCTGTCCTTCTGCTCTTGGTCTTGCCATGGAGTCTGTATGCAGCACAGAGTCAGAGATGCTACTGAAGCACAAGTCACACTATGTCATACATGCGCTCAGTGCTCTCTCCCTAGTGCCAGGGTGGAACCTGGTGCTGAGCAACAGTCAATGTATGTATTGAATAAATGAACGGATGGATGGATGGGTGAGTGAAGGAGTGAAAGAAACAATTATAATTGCAGGTACTGGGACAAACAAGATAGGCATCACTTTGTGCTCTCATGAATTCACATTCCTAAAAACTTGGTCTTGGGAAATAATTAAGAAGAAACAAGAGTAAAAAGTAACAGCAAAGATGTTTATCACTGTATTATCTATAAAAGCAAAATATTATTTAGAAATAACTTTATTATTTAGCAATCCATAAACATACTTGTCATTTTTCTTACATCAACATAATGGTATATTTTTCAGCCACTAACATTAATTTTGGAGGTTTTAAATCAGGAAAGGTATGTGTCAGGACTTTATCCTTTCATCATACTGATGATGAGCAAATAATCTGAGAAAGTGGATTATAAGAAGAAGAACACTGCATCAGGATTAGAGGAAGACTGATCAACGATCTATAATATGTAGATGACACAACCTTGCTTGCTAAAATCAAAGAGGGCTTGAATCAATTACAGATGAAGAGCAAAGACTACAATCTTCAATATGGATTACACCTCCATATTAAGAAAACAAAAATCCACACAACTGGACCAATAAGCAACATCATGATAAATGGAGAAAATAATGAAGTTGTTAAGGATTTTATTTTACTTGGATCCACAGTCTACATCCATTGAAGCAGCAGTCAGGAAATCAAATGACATATTACATCGGGCATATCTATTGCCAAAGACCTCTTCAAAGTGGTAAAAATTGAAGATGTCATTTTGAAGGCTAAGGTGCACCTGACCCAAGCCATGGTATTTTCAATCAAATGCTAACTTCATTTGCATTTGCAAGTTGGACAGTACATAAAAAAGACTGAAGAAGAATTGATACTTTTGAATCATGATGTTGATGAAAAACATTGAATATACCATGAACTGCCAGATGAATGAACAAATCCTTCTTGAAAGAAGTATGGCCAGAATGCTTCTTAGAAGCCAGGATGTTGAGATTTTTGTCTCATGTGCTTTAGACATGTTACCAAGAGGAACTAGCCCATAGAGAAGGACATCATGCTTGGTAAAGTCATCCCCCCCCCCCCAAAAAAAAAAGGAAGACCCTCAACAAGATGGATTAACACAGTAGCTGAAACATTGGGCTCAAAAATAGCAATGATTTTAAGGATGACACAGGACTCGCAGTGTTTCGTTCTCCTATATGTTGCTGTGAGTCTTTCAGTTGCTATGAGTTAGAACTAACTTGATGGCACCTAGCAACGACAACATAATTGTGAAGTCAATATATTTATAATATAAAATGAAAAAAGAATATGAAATGAGTTCATTTAATTGAACCAGTATTTGCCCATATATACAGGAAAGTAATATGAAGAAATAAAAATAATTATGTTAGGAAATAAGATTATGGGTAACTTTTCCAGTTCTCTCTGATGGCATGTGTTTTCAGTGGTAATAGTTTTAAAAAGTTATACAAATATCTATTTCCCCCTCTCAATAGAGGACAGGCTCACCTAAAGCAAAAATGAAGAAAGGAAGATGCAAAAAGAGTTTCGCTCATAAAAGGGCAGAGACTTTTCACAGCCTTGTCCCCAGTGGTGTTATCTCCAGAAGTCATCCTAGTTTCAGGATTTAGAGCTGTCATAATTTGAGAAATGGCTGAATAAAAGAATTAAGAGAACTGTGACAAAAGTGAGCCCTCCAAACTATGCCAGAGAAGCTGCTGTCCTAGATATTCTCTGGGCTGGGATGCTTTCTTTCTTGAAGAATCTGCTCAAAAAGCTGTGGTATGGGCAACCAGCAGCATGATGTCATTCCCGTAAGAACACTGGGATTCATGGGGTTACCTAAGCCGAGATTTTCTCCTTCTGTCCTAGATATGAACACTTGAGGTTCAGATGTCTTCAGGAAATCATTAGTTTTTCTCTCTATTGGACTAATAAAAAGCTATCTCTCTCTCTCTCTCTCTCTCTCTCTATATATATTTATTTATTTATTTATTTGTTGTTGTTACAGGCCATCGAGTCAGACCTGACTCATAGCGACCCCTCCTTGGGTTTCTGAGACAGTATGATTACAGAAGTAGATTGCCCCATCTCCTTCCGAGGAGTAGCTGGTGGGTTTGAACTGCCAGCCTTCTGGTTAGCAGTCAAGTGCCTTAGACACTATGCTACCAGAGCTCCTATATTATATATATATATATATATTTCCTAACCTCCTTCCTGTTATTTTTTTCTACCTACTGTTATTGCAGTCAAGTTGATTTCAATTCACAACATCTCCATGTGAGAGGGTAGCACTGCCCCATATTGTTTCTATAGTGTTCTATACGGAAACAGACTGCCACATCTTTATCCTGCTGGTATGTTCAAAATGCTGACCTTTTGGTAAGCAACCAAGCACTTAAGCACCATGCCACCAGGGCTCCTTCCCTTCCCTGGTAACCACTAATAACCTTTGGTTTCTATATATTTGCCTATTTCATGTAAGTGAGATTATACAATATTTGTCATTTTTCAACTGACTTATTTCACTCAGCATTGTTTTCAGGGTTATTGTAGTATGCGTCAGAGCATTTCTTTTTATGGCTGAGTAGTATAAAAGTAATGTTTTGGAATGATATTCTAGAAGTAGAATGTAAGGAGCTCTACCGAAGATTTGGCAAGAGGAAATAAAAAGGAACTAGAATATCTGATGTGGTTCCTCAGAGAGATGAAATAGAATGAGTGATGTAAGTAGGAAAAGCAGGAAAGCGAGTTAACCAAGTTGATTTGTAGTTTCTTGTGCAGGAGACTAACCAAATAGTGGAACAAGTGACGAAATGGGGTACTCGAGAAAGGGGGTTGAATTTTAGAAAATATAGATTATTAAATTCATTAATTAAATTAAATTAATTTGTACTGAAAGCATGAGACCCATGCGAAAATGAGCTATAAATCTAAAGCATACTTGGGGTGGGGTGGTAGAACTAATAAGTGAGTTCAGCAAGTTCACAGGATATAAGATCAACACAAAGTCAGTCACATTTCCAGGCTTGTAAGCTGAACATTTACATTAGGTAGATACACTCTTTGGAGAAAACAATCATGGGAGAATAGAAGGGCTATGTATCCACAGGGAGATAACTTGGGGGGCAGGAGTGCATGGGAGGGAAGGACACAGGGAAGAGGTAACTATGGGGAGGAAATAGGAAGAGAACTATTGCATTGTGGGAAATTGCATTCAATGTCATGAGACAAAGTGTATGTGAACTGCTGTATGGAAGATGAGTTTGCTCTGTAAACTTTCACCCAAATCACAGTTAAAATAAATAAATAAATAAATCTGTCACATTTCTACATACTAACAATGAATGTGCAGAAACTGAAATTAAAAATTCAATACCATTTATAATCACTCCATGGAGAATGAGATACTTAGACATAGACTTAACAGAATACGCAAAGGATCTATAAGCTGAAAATTACAAAACAATTATGAATGAAGTCAAAACCCATAACAACCCCCTGCCATTGAGTCGATTTCAACTCATAATGGCCCTATAGGACAGAGCAGAACTGCCCAGAGGATTTCCAAGGCTGTAAATCTTTATAGAAGCAGACTGCCTCATCTTTCTCCCACGTAGCAGCTGGTGGGTTTGAACCACCAAACTTTTGTTTAGCAGCCAAATGCTTTAACACCTGCACCATCAGAGCTCTAAAGGACCTAAATAAATAAATAGACATACCATGTTCACGGATTGCATGATTCAACATAGTAAAGATGTCATTGATCTATAAGTTTTCTATAAATTTAATGTAAATTCCTATCAAGATCTCAGCAAAGTTTTTGTAAACATAGATATACAGCTTCTAAAATTCATGTGGAAAGATATAGGCCTTAGAATAGCTTAAAGAATTTTGAGGACTAACAAAAAAAAAAAAAAAAAAAAACCACCAATAAAGTGGAAGAAACCACTCTACTTAATATTAAAAAAAAACAAAAAACTAGTTGCCATTGAATCGATTCTGACTCATGGCCACGCCATGTGTGTCAGAGTTAAACTGTGCTCCAAAGGGTTTTCAATGGCTGATCCCACACACACACACGATTATGGGGTTTATTAGGGAAGTAGTAAGTTACAGTTCAGGATCAAGAATGCTCAGGATACAGTTCTCCCATCCAGACAGGCTCCCTTCAGCTGTTCCTAAAGATAAGTCTCTCTCTGGCCCTTGGCCCCTCAGCCTGGCTTCTACCTCATGGGAATTAGCTTTTGGCTGGTCCTGATCCAGTATCCCCTCCTGCAGTTAGATAGGTTCTGATGATGCTACTATGGCCACCATTTTACAATAAGGATGTGAAAAAATTGGAACCCTGATCCGTTGCCAGTGGGAATGTAAAGTGGTACATCCATTTTGCAAAAACAGTTTTGACAGTTCCTGAAAAAGTTAAACACAGAATTACCATATGATCTAACAATTCCACTGCTAGGTTTATACCCAAGAGAATTGAAAACATATGTCCATATGAAAACATGCATGCCAATCTTCATAGCAGCATTATTCATAACAGCCAAAAAGTGGAAACGACCCAAATGCCCATCCACTGATGACTGGATAACCATACAATGGAATATTATTAAGCCACAAAAAGTAGTGAAGTACCGATGCATACTATAACATGACTGAACTTTGAAAACTTTATGTTAACTGAAAGAAGCTGTACCCAAAAGCCAACATATATATGATTCCGTTTATATGAAATACCCAGAATAGGGAAATCTGTAGACACCGAAATTAGATAAATGGCTGCCAGGAGCTGGAGAGAGGAAGGAATAGCATGTGACTGCTAATGAGGTTTTGGGGGGAAGTAGTAAAATGTTCTAAAATTAGATTGTGATAATGGTTGCACAAGTCTTGAATATACTGAAATCCAATGAATTGTACAATTTCAATGAATGAATTTCATCCCTAGATGGTGCAGATGGTCAATGCACTCGGCTGCTGACTGAAAGGTTGTAAGTTCAAGTTCACTCAGAGGTACCTTGGGAAAAAGCCTATTTCTGAAAATGCAGCCATTGAAATTGTATCTCAGTAAAGTTGTTAGAATGATATTGTATCATTTGTTTAATATTGATGGACACTTAGAATGTATTTAGTTTTCTTTTTCTATTATAATTTTGCAAGGAATTTACTTGTACATTTGTCTTCATGCCCTATCTTTCCTGATATTTCCATAAAATATAGTCTTAGAAGTAGGTTTATTGGTCATAGGCAGTGCCTAAGGTATTTGACTGCTAACCAGAAGGCTGGTGGTTCAAACCCACCAGCCACTCCTCAGAAGGAAGGTTGGGCAATCTACTTCCATAGTGATACTGCCTTGGAAACCCAAGGAGGTGTTGCTATGAGACGGGTCCAACTTGACGGCACATAACAACAACAACAAATCTCACAATAACCAGTTGTATAGTAGTGTCTTATTTAGGGTGCTTAGATACTTCTGAATATCTGTAAAAGTGAAGTTTCAGGTACAGTCCTATGTGAAAACCAAAAAACCAAACACACTGCCATGGACTCGAACCCAACTCATAGGGGCCCCCACCTTGGATTTCCGAGGCGGTATCACTACGCAGGTACATTGCCCAACCTTCCTTCCGAGGAGTGGCTGGTGAGTTTGAACCACCAGCCATCTGGTTAGCAGTCAAATAGTTAAACAACCCTGGGTGCTCTTGTGGAGGAAGGGGAAGGTGTGAGAGATTTAACGGGAAGGGAAGGAGAAGGAAGGGAGTGAGCAGGCCAATAAAAGCACCCTGTGGGGGTTTCTGCTGTCATTGTTTCCTTCTTGGCTTTGTAAAGAGCTTTTCCTCTTGGGATGAACTGAACTAGTTTCTGTTTTGATTTTGCTCTGCTAGGTGAAGGCATCCTCATCTCCTCTGAGGCTACAGAGCTTCTGGATTTCATAGACAACCAGGGCCAGGTGCACGTAATCCAGAAATACCTTGAGCACCCTCTGCTTCTTGAGCCAGGTCATCGCAAATTTGACATTCGGTAATGTATCAGTGTCTGAGGTTCTTGTTTTTATGAATCTGAAAAAGTGATACAGTGTATGGTGAGGAGGGTAGCATGGAGTATATTGAAGTATTTGTGTTTAATGTGTTACCAAAATGAAGCACAGGTGAATGAAACTGGGCTTCTGTACCTAGTTTTCTATTTTCATTCTTTTTTTCTTTCTGAAGAATTTTAGTAAGATTGTCGACTTTCTTTTTCCATATTCTCTTTCACTAAAATGTGGTTCCACAAAAAAGAGTGTAAATGTATGGGGCTTGCTTATGCAAGACGATGCAAGATGTACAGAGAATACATAATTTAGACATAACAGATCATGTGACTCTGCCAAATAATATGTCCTCATTTCATTATTTGTGTCCCTTTTTTTTTTTTTGGACTTATGTTTTTTATGGAGGAACACATCACCACATTTGGAGTTTAATATTTGGAGTTAACTTCTAAGCAAAGGACTTGTCAGTGGACAAAGAAATTATGTGGTGCTTTCCAGAGCTTGCCCTTGACTTTGCTGTCATCTTCTCATTGAGGACTGTTTTGGCTTCTTGATGCCTTCATTATGACTTGCCACTTCCTGAATATCAGTCCTGTCATATTAGCTCCAGAATTAGACACTTGGAATAGTTTCCTCTTAAGATTATTATAAGAGCAAACATTGCAAGTGTAAGTGGCCTCAGGCTAACCTTGAAAACTAATCCATCCAAATCTATTCAAAGTGTTGAATCTTTTGAATGGATCAAAGTCATCTTGTCATTTATGATGAAATATTTTGTTTTTCTGGTTATCGTGGTGACCCACTATCTTGATTAACTGTCACAGTTTACCTCGTACAATTTTAGAATTTGCTTCCTTCCCCTACTCTCCCCATCCCCAGGAAAAAAGTCAAGGTGTGGAACTTGATCCATACAATATGGGGGAACTTTGAATGACTTGTTTTTGTTGAATTGCAGGAGCTGGGTCTTGGTGGATCATCAGTATAATATCTACCTCTATAGAGAGGGTGTGCTTCGGACTGCTTCAGAACCATATCATGTTGATAATTTCCAAGACAAAACCTGCCATTTGACCAATCACTGCATTCAAAAGGAGTATTCAAAGAACTATGGAAAGTATGAAGAAGGAAATGAAATGTTCTTTGAGGCGTTCAATCAGTACCTAATAAGTGCTTTGAATATTACCCTGGAAAGTACTATCTTACTACAAATCAAACATATCATAAGGTAATTGTATCTTTTTTAGGTTGTCTGTTTCTTAATGAAGAAGCTTTAGGAGTTTGTGCCTTTCAAGAAATTAGTCCATTTAAGTTGACAAATTTATGAGCAAAGATTATTATACCATTCCCTTACTATTCTTTTAATGTCTGGAGGTTCTGTAATGATGTTACTTCCTTCATTCCTGATATTGTAAGTTGTATCTTCTCACTAGTTAACTTGGGCAGATTGTCTATAGGATTTTCAATTTTATTCATCTTTCCAAAAACATCAGCTTTTGGGTTTCATTAATTTTCACTGTTGCTTTTGCTTTCAATTTTTATGATTTGTTCTCTTTAGTATTTCCTTCTACTTTTTTTCAGTTTATTTTTCTTTATCATTTTTTTTTAAGGTGAAAATTAGATAATTGATTGATGATATTTCATTTTTTTAAATATAAGCATTTAATGCTATCCATTTATAAGCACTGTATTAGCTTCATCTTACTGATTTTGATGTTTGATTTTCATTTTACTGAAATATTTTCTAATTTCTCTCATGACTTCATCTTTGATTCATGTGGTAATAAGTTTCTTGTTTAGTTTCCAAGTATTTGGAGATTTCCAGGTATCTTTCTGTACTGATTTCTACTTTAATTCTATTAGAGGATATACTTTTCTATGGTTTCATTTCTTTAAAGTTCGTTAAGGTTTATTTCATGGCCCACCATATGGGGTTTATCTTATTGAATGTCCCATGTATAGTGAAAAGAATGTATATTCTACTCCTGCGGTGTAGTAAATTACATGGTATGGCTTTTCTAGCCATAGTATTTATAACTCCCACTTTGCCGTGAGTAACTGAGAAGCTGATTGTTAAAGTTATCCACCTGGGGCAGCACAAAATAATCTTCTGGGAAGTTTGCTGTCTCTCGGGTGTATAGAATTCTGGTGTTGGAATTGGTTGGTTTTGACCACTCTGCCAGGCTCAAAGAGGAGCCTCCTAGAGGCAAAAGGAGAGTCTCTCTGACTGCTGGCTGAGAGAGATGTGCTGCTGACACGTGGCTGAGAGAGAGAGAGACATGAGAGAGATGCACTGCTGAAAGAGGAATGTGCTACTGAGAGACGGCCAGCTGTTGAGAGAGATAGCCGGCTGAGAGAGACTGAGCATGCTCCTGAACTTGAATTGTAGCCTGTTGCTTCCCTAATAAATATAATCTGTGAGTTCTGTGTGGCCACTGCAGCAAATTACTGAACCCAGCAGAGAGGTGGTGGGTGCTGTGGAGGAACAGTTGGTGTTAAGGTTAGTAAGAGGGCTAGAGGGTGGCAGCCTGTCTGGACTCATAAGAACAGGCTTTAGGCTGCTAATGGTGATTCTGTCTTCCTCTTGTGAAGTTAGAGGAGGTCAGGTTGTCCCTTTAGCAACTACTGTTGGGTGGAGCTTTCTATAAATGGCAGTTAAGTCAAGGTGGTTGATAGTGCTTAAGTCTTCCATATCCTTGCTGATTTTCTGTTCTACTTGTTCTGTCACTGAAGCAGAAGTATTGAAGTATCCAAACAGAATGATGAATTTGTCTCTTTTTCTGCTTTATCAGTTTTTGCTTCATTTATTTTGAAGCTCTATTGTTTATCACATATATATTTAGTAGCATAGTGGCTAAGACACTTGCCTGCTAACCAGACGTCTGGCGGTTCAAACCCACCAGCCACTCCTCGGAAGGAAGGTTGGGCAATCCTACTTCCGTAGTGATACTGCCTCGGAAACCCAAGGAGGGGTCACTATGAGTCGGGGCCGACTCGATGGCACATAACAACATAACATAACATGTTGTCTTCACGAATTGGCTCTTTTATCATTCTGTAATTAATGTCTGTCTTTATCTGTGGTAAAATTCCTTATTTTGAAGTCTACTTTGTCTGATATTAATTAGCCACTGTAGCTTTCTTTGATTAGTGTTTGCATGGTATGTATTTTTCCATTCTTTTATTATATTCTATTCACTATATTTACAGTGAGTTTCTCATAGACAGTGTATAGTTGGCTTTGGTTTTATTTTTTAGTTTGATATGACAATCTGTATCTTATAATTAATGTGTTAATACCATTTACGTTTAGTATAATTATTAACAGGAGCTCAGGTAGCATAGTCCCTTAGGCACTTGACTGCTAACCAGAAGGCTGGTGCTTCAAACCCACTAGCCACTCCTCGAAAGAAAGGTTGGGCAATCTACTTACATAGTGACACCACCTCAGAAACCCAAGGAGGGATCGCTATGAGTCGGGTAGGACTCGACGGCACATAACAACAACAACAACAACATAATTATTAATATTATTAAACTTACATCTACCACTTTATTATTTGTGGTCTCCTTTTTTGCTTCTGATCTTCATTTCTTCCTTTCCTGCTATCTTTTAAATTATTTGAGTATTGTTAGAGTTCTGTTTCAGTTTATTTGTTGAGTTTTTGGCTCTATTGCTTTGGATTATTTTTTAGTGATTGCTCTAGGAATTAATATATATGTACCTGTCTTAGTTACCTTGTGCTGCTATAATGTAAATACCACTAATGGATGACTTTAACAAACAGATTTATTCTCTGGACTTGACTAGAAGTCCAGATTCATGGCACCAGCTCTAGGAGAAGGCTTTTTCTCTGTCAGCTCTGGAGGAAGGTCCTTATCTCCTTTCAACATCTATGGACACGACATTCCTGAAGATCTCCATCTGTTTTGACATCAGCCTTCCCCTGGGTCTATGAGGTTCTTAGCATAGGAAGTCCAAGTCCAAAGGACACATTCTACTCCTGGCTCTTCTTTCTTAGTGCTAGTGGGTTCCTTTAATCTCTGCTTGCTTGTTTAATCTCTTTTACTCCTCAGGTGAGAATGACTCAAGATACAGTTTAGTTCTGTAGATTGTATCTTGTTTTCAGGCTGAAGAACCTCCTTTAGCATTTCTTTTAGAGCAGGTCTGCTACAGCTAAATCCTCTTAATTTTCTATCATCTACGAGTGTCTTTATTTCATCTTATTCCTGAAGGATCTTTTTCATTTGATCTAGAACTCTTATGTTGACAGTTGTTTTTTTTTTAATCAGCATTTGAAATATTTTTTTTCATTGTCTTCGGGCCTCCAGAGTTTTTAATAAGAAATCTACAATCATTTTCATTGTTGTTCACCTGTAAGTGATGTACTGTTTTTCTCTACCAGCTTTCAAGACTTTTTCTTTATATTTGCTTTATTAGCAGTTTGATTTTTATGTGTCTGAGAGTGATTTTCTTTGAGTTTATACTGTTTGGGGTTTATTAAGCTTCTTGAATCTATAAATTTATATCTTTTACCAAATTGGGTAAATTTTCAGCCATCATTTCTTCAGATACTTTTTCTGCACCAATTTCTTTCTCCTCTCTTTCTGAGATTACAGTTGTTACCAGAGCCATCAAGGGAAATGCTAATGCCAAGTCGGATGGTGAAACAGGAAGGACTTTTATTTTTGTGTCCTCACACAGACTCAGTGGATTCACATCCATAGACTGAACTCTGAACAAAGGTCACATGGGGCCTTTATGGGGTTCTTTTTCCAGGGTATTCGGGGTAAAAGGGTGATTGGTTATCTGCAAAAAGATGCCAGCTAGCAGTTTTTACAGAAGCAAAAAACATGCTTGACAGGAAGAGAGGAGGGGGAGTATGAACAGGGGAAGAAGGCATGGGGAGCAGGGCCAAGGAATTTTCCACTACATGGTTTTTCAAGCCAGCCTGATATGGATGTGTCTGGCCTCACAAGTTGTTTCACTGCTCAACAAAATTTCCTTACTTAGGTTAGGCACAGGTTATAATTCATTGTTAATGCTTCTTAAATTCTCCTCTCTCGCCTCACAGTGACACAAATATTAAGACCTTTTGCGATTGTCTCACAGATCTTTGAGTTTTTGTTCATTTTTTCCAATCCTTATATGGGAGAATTTCTATTTTCAAGTTCACTGACTTTTCTCTGTCTTCTCCGTTCTGCTAATGAGCCTATCCACCATATTTTTTTTCAAATTTTATTCAAAATTTTATTTTATATTTAAAAAACCCCAAAAACTTAACTGCCGTCAACATACATATATATGGATGTGTGGGTGTGTTTGCAGTTCTTAAATTCTATTTGGCAATTTTTTAGTTCTGTTTCTCTGCTGAGATCTTATGTATATCCATTCATTTCAAGTATGTTTACTTTTACCTCATGAAGCATAGTTATAATAGTTACTTTAAGTTTTTGTTTTACAGTTCCAACATCTGGGTCATTTGGGAGTTGGATTGGCATTTGTTGATTTTTTTCCCCCCTTCAAATTTGTTCTGGTTCTTTGTATGTTTAGTAATTTTAAATTGTATCCTGGACATTTGGAATATTGTGCTATGAAGACTTTGGGTAATATTAAAATCCCTAGAGATTATTGACTTTTTATTTTGGAGACAATCAGACCAGTTAAGTTCAAATCACAGCTTCTGTTTCACCTTCTGTGTGTGGTGATTCCAATGTCATTTTAGTTTTCAAAGTCTTGTATTTCTCCTGTGCATACACTGCTAAGGAATAAGCCCAGAACTTACATTATACACTGAATTAGGAGATCTCCTTCTCAATTCTATGGGATTCCTTTATAGTCTCTGATTTACAGGGGCCTATTGTCCCAGACCTTGAGTCAGAAAGATGGGGTTTCTTTCAGAGCTTCAGCTGCTCAGATTGCCAGCACAATTACAGCTGCATTACTAGAAAAAAGAGATGGAAAAATGGGATTCCTTCCAAGTCCTTGAACCACATAGTCCTTTGTCCCAGTTCCTCTGACCAGAAAGACAGAGTTTCTCCTAGGGTTTTACCTTCTGGTGCCACAGCTCCAATAAGAAGCTATCTTCAAGCAAAGCACTATTGAAGAAGAACAACAAAGTAGGAGGTCTCACACTGCCAGATCTCAAAACCTACTATACAGCCACAGTAGTCAAAACTGCC